TACTGCCTCTAGGGCTTGGAAATGGTTTATATGTGGCTAGGAGAAGGACCAGGCTAAAAGGACTGGTCAGTCCTCCTACCCTTTTACTCTTCCTGCCCTATATGAATTACCTAATTAAAAAACTTCCTTTTACCCCTGAAGAAGGAGGCAGTATGTTCTGTCGAAACTTTGGTACACAGCCAAAAGACTGGACTGTATTTGCATTGCCATGAACAATTCAAATCCTACCTATAATACCTCGTACGTTCTTTTGTAGTTGGTATTCACAAGATGAATTTAATTTTTTTATTATTTGAGTCAAAGCTGTTTACTAGCTCGCATCTTTTAAACATTGAGAAAAAAAACATTTGAACACGTTATCATGGTAACAAAATAAAGATTTATTACGATGTTTTTAGTAAATATTTTCGCGAGAATACTGCAATGATTGTTGATAGTATTTTATTAATAGTTTATTTAACGAGAACTATCGGAAACTATGCATTACTTATACAGTACGTTTGGTCCACTTTATTCATATTTAACAACAGTTAAAATGTTTTAATCTTGCGTTTGACGACTTTTTAAAATAAGGACCGACTAAAAGTCGTGAAATAAGTTATTACTTTCATTTTGAACCATAATTTTAAATGTCTTAAAATTAACGTTTTAAAGTCTAATTTCTCTAAACAGATATGTGGTCTGGTGATTACAACTCTACTTAGATAACGAGAATAAATCGGCTTTCTAGAATACAGTGTTGTATACTTAGTCTGTCAACAATAGGACGATCTTATCATTTCATCAAAGATTTCAAATAATTGATGTGTATTGCATCACGTGGTGGTCAGTTACAAATTCAAAGTAGACTGGTGTAGTGCTTCAAGTTTTACTGAACACGTATCCATGTTTATTCAGTTCCGTGCTCCAGTTTATGGCTGTGGAGGTCGGTAATATCAGTTTTTCTTTCTCAGTATTTGAAGAGCCGGTAAGTTAGCAGCCTATCTAGTTTGCAGGCTGTTAATTACTACTCAACGAGAGAAACGTCCTTCACATATCAATGAATGTTGGACTTGGACATGTGATATCATCTCTTTCTTAAAATTGGTAGATAGTGAATTGTGTCGCGAAAATCGTGTAATTCTGGGAAATAATTTTTACAGTGGTTCCTTCAGTTGTCTTAAGAGCTCCAGTTAAATGATCAAAAATCATTAACCAAATATATATATATATATATATATATATATACTTACAGATAGTAAGAGGGTGAAGAAATGAGGACAGATTGCAGACTGCTTTGTTGACAAAATTTAGTATCGGGCAAGGAATGTTTTGGTTATCGGATCTTGACTTCTCTGTAGATCAAGGTGACAAAGCAAATTAGTTGCTTGATGAGATTTATGTCTTTGTGTCGGGCAGAGTACTGGTACGTAATGAAAGTACCACGTGCGCATAAACACGCCTCGTGAACTTGGAATAGTGGAACATCCAAGTGTTGCTTCCGTCTAGTATAACGAAATTATTACGTCATTAAGTTATTTCAACCGTCTTCAGAAATCGCTTCATTCGGAGTCATTTATGCAATTCTTGAATAAAAATAATATGGTCATACTGCGTTAAAAGTACAGTATTTCACTGTTTATGTTTTGGTGTCATGTGATTTCTTTACGAGAGGCAGTGATCAACATTTCGTTACGAAAATGTGTTGCTATTACAATGAATTAAAGTTCTTAAAAATTAAATAGACATTAATTGTGCATACTGCTAGTATGTATATTCGTTTCGTGTTCGGTTGCAACACTGTTGTCATTAATTCATGCAGAATGTGGAGTAGTGTGTGTGGTTGGGTTCATATATCTGTGGTGCTTGGCAAGAAGAACGTTAGTCAAACGTTCTTCGTGAAGTGGTGAAGTTTCTAACGGCGGTTGGTATTAAAACAACTACTGGGATGTTGCATCGAGTGGTCTGGTACAAAGTTTACCGATGGTTTAAGGTGCTTGCTGCCTCCATAATCAGGGTGAAGATTCGTGTCAGTGAACTGTAGTAATGTAGACTATAGACTACAGATTATAGAAGACTTAAAAAAATATAGTAATAAATCAAGATGACTCATGAATAAAGTAAGAGCTGATTAACTCTGAGGAATGCTTGTTAAAAGTCTGTGTATTTTGCCTTCATGTTTCCTCTCTAAAAATGTACAAATTAAATTATGCCAGAGTATACTTTTATTGTACTGCTTTGAATGTTTAATTGAGTTGTGAGGATGTTGATTGGATTACTGTGGCTCAGGTTATGATCCAATGGCAGGCTGTTGTGAGCATGGGACTGAAAGTTCGGGTTCCATAAAAAGTAGAGAATGTCTCAACTAGGGCACTGCAGGCTGTATAATCATTGCGGTGTTACGAACATGCTTAGGCGAACCTTTGGGTTTCATCAAATGTGAGGAAGTTCTTGGCTAGCTGAACAACTATTAGTTTCTCAAGGCGGGTATAAATATCCAGAGGACATGGAAACAATTTTCCTGCTTATATTCACTTCAGAGAAAAGTTTTGTGAATAGACCAAACTTATGTGAAGTTAATGTTAATAGGAGATTTCCTATGCTATGAACTGCCATATTATCTCCAAAAATAACACATTAAATGTAATTGCGTATAGTATTTTAATATGCAGCTCCTTTCATTCACAGATCCTCATGTCAGAGTCGCGGGTCGACGGGAAGATGTGAAGGTGGCGAAGGACAAGGTTATGGAAGTTCTGGACACAAGAGTAATTATTTTTTTATTCTTTGTTTATTTATAAAGATGACTTTGGACTGTAATCTTGAGACCTGCGGGGTGAGGAAGTGGGATGAAGGAGGAAGGAGGAAAGATAGCATCTGCCTTTAACGCTACAGACTTCCTGCATTCCTTGCAAGTCTCAAGATTACAGTTGTGGACTGTACTTGAGGAAATTTACTTGGTGTGCAGCATTATTGTGTGTTCCTGTGTGTTTTACTGCTATCTTGCACAGCTGCTTAATCCTAATACACTTCAATGTATTACAGATATGGTCCAGATGATCCTAAAGTACAAATATTAAAAGTAGATGCACACAGGGAATGTTGAGAGGCAAACTGCTGTTAAATACACTTATTTCAACTTGGTGTCTTAAATCTGTATTTTTTAATATTTATGAAGAGGGAAATCCAAATGGATACAAATGAATGGCTTTATGTACATTATAAACACTGATCAAAACAGTGATGTAAAATATATGTATAACATATGTAAAGACTCAAGTAAAAATACAGGTCAAGAGGTAGAAATTTCCAAATTTTTACCCATTTAAAATATGTAGGCTTCTAAATTGGGCGTCTGTTACCATAAAATGAATTGCAACATATGATGGGACGTGATGTGTTGTATATATCAAGTCTATTTAATAACTCTGTCTGAGCTCAGACTATACAGCTGTGCTGTAAAATAATCTGTTACAGTTGTATCCGGAATAAGCAATAAAATTCCAGATTTTTCTAAACATGGTAAAACTACTAAAATATATAGTTCCATGCAAAATATAAATAATAGTTTTACTTGTATAACAATCCTAGTAGTTGAGATATTTAGATCTTTGAAAAACATATCTTCTTCTTCTTCTTCTCTTGCACTACAACCCTTGGTGGGCTCTGGCATCCCGAACAATCCCCATCTCTTCCTATCTTGAGCTACCTTCTTCCAGTTGCACACTTTTATTTTCCTCTATCGCATCAATCCACCTTTCCCTTGGTCTTCCTTTAGGTCTTGTTCCCCACAGTTTCTGGTTTAATACCAAATGTGGCAGTCTATCCTCTCCCATTCCGACCACATGTCCCGCCCATCTTAACCGTTGCGATTTAATATATCTCACAACGTGCTCATGATGGATCGATTCTCCTAACTCCGCATTATATGTAATTCTATACGATCCATCATTATTCTTTAGGGGGCCAAAGATTTTCCATAGAATTTTCCTTTCAAAGCACGTTAACTTGCTTTCTACTTGAGATGTGAGTTTCCAAGATTCTGCCCCATAAGTTATTACCGGTCTAATAAGTGTCCTTTGAAAAATATATACAATTACTTAAGTGTCTGGTTCAATAATGAATTTATTTGTTTCAGAGCAACCGTGTGACAATGAAACTGGATGTGAGCTACACTGATCACTCTCACATCATTGGAAAAGGAGGTTTGACTATCAAGAAAGTGATGGAGGAGACCGGTTGCCACATCCATTTCCCAGACTCAAACCGCAGCAACTTGAATGAGAAGAGCAACCAGGTGTCAATAGCCGGGGAGTTGGAGGGTGTTGAGCAAGCGAGGGCTCGTGTTCGGGTAGGTTCAATGAGATAGTGCGCAAGGCATGACTGACTTAGTAAAGGAAGGCTACCGGATGTATCCTGAAACTGTCAGTTCTGAAGCCATCTAGGGTTCTGAGGAACAGATTACAATGCGGATGAAAAAGGACTAAGGAAAAAGACCTGATTCATATTCCACAGAACTCGGATACATTAAAAAAATTAAATCCGTGGCGTAAGAGCTCCAGAGAGCTAAAGCCGACTAGCTGGCTGCTGGCCTCACGTTCTCATGCCTCAGCAGAGGTGAACGATCTTCCGACCAGATATAGGGTGACGTGTGGTCAACACGATGAACCCCCAGCCATTCCTAGTTTTCATGACCGGATTATGCTACCCATTGTAGCTCCCCAATTTCCTCATGACATACTGCCTCTAGGGCTTGGAAATGGTTTATATGTGGCTAGGAGAAGGACCAGGCTAAAAGGACTGGTCAGTCCTCCTACCCTTTTACTCTTCCTGCCCTATATGAATTACCTAATTAAAAAACTTCCTTTTACCCCTGAAGAAGGAGGCAGTATGTTCTGTCGAAACTTTGGTACACAGCCAAAAGACTGGACTGTATTTGCATTGCCATGAACAATTCAAATCCTACCTATAATACCTCGTACGTTCTTTTGTAGTTGGTATTCACAAGATGAATTTAATTTTTTTATTATTTGAGTCAAAGCTGTTTACTAGCTCGCATCTTTTAAACATTGAGAAAAAAAACATTTGAACACGTTATCATGGTAACAAAATAAAGATTTATTACGATGTTTTTAGTAAATATTTTCGCGAGAATACTGCAATGATTGTTGATAGTATTTTATTAATAGTTTATTTAACGAGAACTATCGGAAACTATGCATTACTTATACAGTACGTTTGGTCCACTTTATTCATATTTAACAACAGTTAAAATGTTTTAATCTTGCGTTTGACGACTTTTTAAAATAAGGACCGACTAAAAGTCGTGAAATAAGTTATTACTTTCATTTTGAACCATAATTTTAAATGTCTTAAAATTAACGTTTTAAAGTCTAATTTCTCTAAACAGATATGTGGTCTGGTGATTACAACTCTACTTAGATAACGAGAATAAATCGGCTTTCTAGAATACAGTGTTGTATACTTAGTCTGTCAACAATAGGACGATCTTATCATTTCATCAAAGATTTCAAATAATTGATGTGTATTGCATCACGTGGTGGTCAGTTACAAATTCAAAGTAGACTGGTGTAGTGCTTCAAGTTTTACTGAACACGTATCCATGTTTATTCAGTTCCGTGCTCCAGTTTATGGCTGTGGAGGTCGGTAATATCAGTTTTTCTTTCTCAGTATTTGAAGAGCCGGTAAGTTAGCAGCCTATCTAGTTTGCAGGCTGTTAATTACTACTCAACGAGAGAAACGTCCTTCACATATCAATGAATGTTGGACTTGGACATGTGATATCATCTCTTTCTTAAAATTGGTAGATAGTGAATTGTGTCGCGAAAATCGTGTAATTCTGGGAAATAATTTTTACAGTGGTTCCTTCAGTTGTCTTAAGAGCTCCAGTTAAATGATCAAAAATCATTAACCAAATATATATATATATATATATATATATATATACTTACAGATAGTAAGAGGGTGAAGAAATGAGGACAGATTGCAGACTGCTTTGTTGACAAAATTTAGTATCGGGCAAGGAATGTTTTGGTTATCGGATCTTGACTTCTCTGTAGATCAAGGTGACAAAGCAAATTAGTTGCTTGATGAGATTTATGTCTTTGTGTCGGGCAGAGTACTGGTACGTAATGAAAGTACCACGTGCGCATAAACACGCCTCGTGAACTTGGAATAGTGGAACATCCAAGTGTTGCTTCCGTCTAGTATAACGAAATTATTACGTCATTAAGTTATTTCAACCGTCTTCAGAAATCGCTTCATTCGGAGTCATTTATGCAATTCTTGAATAAAAATAATATGGTCATACTGCGTTAAAAGTACAGTATTTCACTGTTTATGTTTTGGTGTCATGTGATTTCTTTACGAGAGGCAGTGATCAACATTTCGTTACGAAAATGTGTTGCTATTACAATGAATTAAAGTTCTTAAAAATTAAATAGACATTAATTGTGCATACTGCTAGTATGTATATTCGTTTCGTGTTCGGTTGCAACACTGTTGTCATTAATTCATGCAGAATGTGGAGTAGTGTGTGTGGTTGGGTTCATATATCTGTGGTGCTTGGCAAGAAGAACGTTAGTCAAACGTTCTTCGTGAAGTGGTGAAGTTTCTAACGGCGGTTGGTATTAAAACAACTACTGGGATGTTGCATCGAGTGGTCTGGTACAAAGTTTACCGATGGTTTAAGGTGCTTGCTGCCTCCATAATCAGGGTGAAGATTCGTGTCAGTGAACTGTAGTAATGTAGACTATAGACTACAGATTATAGAAGACTTAAAAAAATATAGTAATAAATCAAGATGACTCATGAATAAAGTAAGAGCTGATTAACTCTGAGGAATGCTTGTTAAAAGTCTGTGTATTTTGCCTTCATGTTTCCTCTCTAAAAATGTACAAATTAAATTATGCCAGAGTATACTTTTATTGTACTGCTTTGAATGTTTAATTGAGTTGTGAGGATGTTGATTGGATTACTGTGGCTCAGGTTATGATCCAATGGCAGGCTGTTGTGAGCATGGGACTGAAAGTTCGGGTTCCATAAAAAGTAGAGAATGTCTCAACTAGGGCACTGCAGGCTGTATAATCATTGCGGTGTTACGAACATGCTTAGGCGAACCTTTGGGTTTCATCAAATGTGAGGAAGTTCTTGGCTAGCTGAACAACTATTAGTTTCTCAAGGCGGGTATAAATATCCAGAGGACATGGAAACAATTTTCCTGCTTATATTCACTTCAGAGAAAAGTTTTGTGAATAGACCAAACTTATGTGAAGTTAATGTTAATAGGAGATTTCCTATGCTATGAACTGCCATATTATCTCCAAAAATAACACATTAAATGTAATTGCGTATAGTATTTTAATATGCAGCTCCTTTCATTCACAGATCCTCATGTCAGAGTCGCGGGTCGACGGGAAGATGTGAAGGTGGCGAAGGACAAGGTTATGGAAGTTCTGGACACAAGAGTAATTATTTTTTTATTCTTTGTTTATTTATAAAGATGACTTTGGACTGTAATCTTGAGACCTGCGGGGTGAGGAAGTGGGATGAAGGAGGAAGGAGGAAAGATAGCATCTGCCTTTAACGCTACAGACTTCCTGCATTCCTTGCAAGTCTCAAGATTACAGTTGTGGACTGTACTTGAGGAAATTTACTTGGTGTGCAGCATTATTGTGTGTTCCTGTGTGTTTTACTGCTATCTTGCACAGCTGCTTAATCCTAATACACTTCAATGTATTACAGATATGGTCCAGATGATCCTAAAGTACAAATATTAAAAGTAGATGCACACAGGGAATGTTGAGAGGCAAACTGCTGTTAAATACACTTATTTCAACTTGGTGTCTTAAATCTGTATTTTTTAATATTTATGAAGAGGGAAATCCAAATGGATACAAATGAATGGCTTTATGTACATTATAAACACTGATCAAAACAGTGATGTAAAATATATGTATAACATATGTAAAGACTCAAGTAAAAATACAGGTCAAGAGGTAGAAATTTCCAAATTTTTACCCATTTAAAATATGTAGGCTTCTAAATTGGGCGTCTGTTACCATAAAATGAATTGCAACATATGATGGGACGTGATGTGTTGTATATATCAAGTCTATTTAATAACTCTGTCTGAGCTCAGACTATACAGCTGTGCTGTAAAATAATCTGTTACAGTTGTATCCGGAATAAGCAATAAAATTCCAGATTTTTCTAAACATGGTAAAACTACTAAAATATATAGTTCCATGCAAAATATAAATAATAGTTTTACTTGTATAACAATCCTAGTAGTTGAGATATTTAGATCTTTGAAAAACATATCTTCTTCTTCTTCTTCTCTTGCACTACAACCCTTGGTGGGCTCTGGCATCCCGAACAATCCCCATCTCTTCCTATCTTGAGCTACCTTCTTCCAGTTGCACACTTTTATTTTCCTCTATCGCATCAATCCACCTTTCCCTTGGTCTTCCTTTAGGTCTTGTTCCCCACAGTTTCTGGTTTAATACCAAATGTGGCAGTCTATCCTCTCCCATTCCGACCACATGTCCCGCCCATCTTAACCGTTGCGATTTAATATATCTCACAACGTGCTCATGATGGATCGATTCTCCTAACTCCGCATTATATGTAATTCTATACGATCCATCATTATTCTTTAGGGGGCCAAAGATTTTCCATAGAATTTTCCTTTCAAAGCACGTTAACTTGCTTTCTACTTGAGATGTGAGTTTCCAAGATTCTGCCCCATAAGTTATTACCGGTCTAATAAGTGTCCTTTGAAAAATATATACAATTACTTAAGTGTCTGGTTCAATAATGAATTTATTTGTTTCAGAGCAACCGTGTGACAATGAAACTGGATGTGAGCTACACTGATCACTCTCACATCATTGGAAAAGGAGGTTTGACTATCAAGAAAGTGATGGAGGAGACCGGTTGCCACATCCATTTCCCAGACTCAAACCGCAGCAACTTGAATGAGAAGAGCAACCAGGTGTCAATAGCCGGGGAGTTGGAGGGTGTTGAGCAAGCGAGGGCTCGTGTTCGGGTAGGTTCAATGAGATAGTGCGCAAGGCATGACTGACTTAGTAAAGGAAGGCTACCGGATGTATCCTGAAACTGTCAGTTCTGAAGCCATCTAGGGTTCTGAGGAACAGATTACAATGCGGATGAAAAAGGACTAAGGAAAAAGACCTGATTCATATTCCACAGAACTCGGATACATTAAAAAAATTAAATCCGTGGCGTAAGAGCTCCAGAGAGCTAAAGCCGACTAGCTGGCTGCTGGCCTCACGTTCTCATGCCTCAGCAGAGGTGAACGATCTTCCGACCAGATATAGGGTGACGTGTGGTCAACACGATGAACCCCCAGCCATTCCTAGTTTTCATGACCGGATTATGCTACCCATTGTAGCTCCCCAATTTCCTCATGATGCTGGGTTGGCACCGGTCTCATACACTGGCCGAAAGCTCATGAGAAAATTTTTTCTCCCCCGAGACTCAAACCAGCGCGCATTCTCTATCGCCGGTCCAAAGCATGATGCCTCAGACCGCGTGGCTACGGTTCGGGACAAACAGCTTGAAATACTTTTGCAAAATACCCTATTCATTATTTATTTTCTAAATCCAGTTTAAACCATTTGATTAAATGAATTAATTTTCTTGATGCCACTGATGATGACCTTGAGGTTGAAACGCGTATGGCATCAGTGTCTTTTTTATAGTGTTAATAGTTGTTTGTTTGCTTATTTTATATTCTAATACACTACACAGTACGCAAAGTTTTATGATAAGAATATGTCAGATACGTATGTACTAAAATGAGCAGTGTATGATGGTGTGGAATGTTAATATGGTCTCACACAATTGAGATTCATAATATACATTTAATTTTAAAATTTAATATGAAACGTATAGTTATGGTAATTAGTCAGCTAAGCTTTCATGATCTGTTTCAAAGTTATAATAATAAAACTGTTTTCTTTGCAGAAATTGACTCCATTGATCTTCAGCTTTGAGTTGCCAATAGTAGGAATGCTGCAGCCTCTCCCTGATAACAATTCTCCATATCTGAGGAGCATCCAGGAAAAATACAATGTTCATGTAATGTTTCGAAACCGTCCCAAGCTGTATGGAACCATGGTAGTCATAAAGGGCTGTGAGTGGGAGGTGGCTATGGTGAAGGAAGCCACTCTCCTTGTAATACACCACATGTGTGAATCTCTTGCTGTGAGTAATTTTATTTTCCGAGATATGCTACACTTCTTAAGAGGTCTTGTAGTGTCCTGTTACGTAAGATAGAGATTTTGACCCCCACTTTACAAAAAAGTAAATTAGGAACACAGTGAAGTTTTGCTCTCATGTTCAGGAAACAGGTTAGAACTTCAGGTGTTTGTAGTTATTTATATGCTTCAGTTTGGTGGGTAAATGGATGGGAATTTCAAACCCACTTTAGAAAAACAAAAGAAATTCATGGAAGCAAGGCAAGTCATGAAGGAGTTCCGAACTTACTCATAAATTTCACATGACATTTTGTTTTCAGATATATGTGGTTAATATTTTTAGTACTTAAAATTAACCAGTAGAATCACAGATCTCCAACTTTTCAGTTGACTACACCTTAAAAATTTTATTCACACCTGTTTATAACTGCCATGACTGGTACAGAATACATGATTATAATATGAGTGCATATATTTTGTTACATGGGTTACTGGAGAGTTTCTAATGTATTTTATCTTCAGTAAATAAAATAATGAAAGAATATGTCAATGCTTGACTCACGCAGATTATTGGTCCATCACGATCAAGTAGGCCTATTTTGCTGTTTCCAGACTCAGGTTCAGGTGCATATGACACTGGAGATCTCTCCTCAGCACCACAGTATCGTATTGGGGAAGAACAGCAACAATTTGAAGCAGATCATGCAGCAAACCTCAACACAGATCATGTTCCCTGATGCTGGCGATCCCAACATCCCAAACCTGAAGAAGAGCAATATTTGTATTACAGGAACAATTCATAATGTGTATCTTGCCAGGCAGCAGCTAATGGTATGAGCCTACTTTGTCTGTTATTGTACTAAGTTGCTTACTTGCTAAGTTTTACTTCAGTAAATGTAAGTAGTTTAACTAACCAAAGATTTAATGTGATTCGTTTCATCAGTTATTTTCCTTGATATGGCTTTCAAACCAAGTTTTGCTACAATTCGTTTAACATTTATTTCTTATAAATCATTACTGTGCAAAGGTATCTTATGTTTTTGTATCTTAGCTAAATAATTCAAATTTTTAGCTAATTATATTCACAAATTGTATCCAAAGTACTCTGGAGAGGTCAAAGTGGGGATATTGTAACTTCTGCACTTAAACCCTGTCAAAGGATTGTTACAAGCTCCAACTTTTCATCTTTTCATGTGGGGACAGAAAAACAGATTGTTCCCAAAATATTGTGTTCTATAAGGAATACTAGATGATAGATGAAGTTCAGAAAACCAGTCTTATTATTTGTTTGTATTTGGTCTCACAAATGTAGTTCTCATTACTATTATACAGCAACTATTCCTTACATTTTTAAATCAGAATGGCTAATATATTATTAAAATTGGTTTAACCTTCATCTGTGTGATCCAGCTGTCCATGTGTCGTACTAGCATACTGCTAAACTGTTTACCCCAGAACTAAAGTTCAGCCACCAGTCCCATAATATGGGGATTTAAATCCTGTTCCTGTATGGTAAAGTGAACATGGGTTTAAGTCAGATTGGATGATTAGTTCTTTGTTTAAATCTTGCATGGTTATAATTCAGTGGTTGATGTTTTAGAATTCTTCTACTGGCCAAAGGTCCCAGTTCTAATAATGGGCAAGGAGGAAGCAGGAATTTAATGAAGTTGAAAGAATTATAATTTTCTATGGTTGGTAGGGTTCCCTGCCAGTTGTGCTTATGTTTGACCTACCTGAGGACATGGTGGTAGATACTGACCAAGTCTCTCGACTGATGCAAATTCTCGACGTCTTCATCAGTATTCGACGCAAGCCCAAACAGAATGTTGTGTCAGTGATCATCAAGGGAATTGAGCGTAATGCAAGTAAGTGCACCAAATAGCAAGAATATGACAACTGTTGATTAATGCCATCACTTATCATTTATTATGTATCACTATTTAATATTTACATTTGGCAGTTTTGTACAATAATTGTTGGTTCCTCAATTGTTTTGTTAACAACTTTTCCATATAGAATATGGACTGAATAATATAGGAAATCAATATCTTTTATTGCAGCTAATGTTTATGAAGCAAGGAGCAAGTTATTGGGTTTGGAAGAACCAAGAGTTGTTGCTGATATACCACCAACGTATCATATCCCAGACACTCCATCTTTTGGTACAATTCATAATGGTAAGGCAGAACATTCTTCTTTTTTTAATTAGTTATTTTGTGGAATTCAAGTGCAGGGATATATTTACTTTTTAAGCCTATTCTGTGTGTGAAGGTAAAGCACACATTTTTAATTGTCACTAGATGGCATTGAATGTTAAGTTTTGTGCTTTTGCCAGTTACCTCTGGTGCCAATGGAAAAGAGGCTAGATAAGTCCCAGAGCTGTCTTGAATCTATAATTGATATTACTCTGTAAGGTAATGTAACAGAATCGGTTGTAAATGTAATTACCCATAACAGAATTTTAACACATTCTATAATATTGATTGTAATGCTAATGAGAAAGATGAAGACAGTACAAGTAATAATTTTTGTACAAAATTTTCAACCAACATTATATTGGGAAGCAGATAGAGCAAATTTTCATAAATAAATTAAATATGTAAATAAAAAAGATAAATTGTATATGTATGTGGTTATTCTTTTGTTATGTCTGTGGCTATAATTATCTTGTAAGACTTGGAGCTATATTGTCTAATAATAATGTTGACATTGTGTTTTGACAGACATATATGGAACCAGTGCCAGAAGATGCCAGGTCCATCATAATCTGACCTTGAACACAGGCTGCATTGGACTTCCAGGAATTAACATTCCCTCTTTGCAAGGAGCCCTTACACCCCCTTTTCCATCACCTGTTGGCAGCATTGGTAACCCTTGGTCTGGTGGCTTCGGCTCTCCTACTCCTGTGGGTTCATTCCTCCACACACCTGTACTAACACAACCCACACTGAACCACTTAATGAACTTGCAGCAACACCAACTTCTGATGCACCATGTAGGAGGGGGTATGGTGGCTCCAAGTACTCTGTCAAATGGTTCATCCTGTAGTGCCTCAGTCACTGGTAGCAGTACTAGCAGATCTCATATGCTTGGAAATTTCTCAAACAGCAGTCTGTCCCTGGCTTCTGATACAAAGGACAATAATGGTAAGAGTTCATCGACAATTAATATTCAATATTTTAACCAATTTAGCTTTCGATCCACATAATAATCTTTAACTTATTGGAAAAGCTGATTTAAACCCAGTTAAAATTCCATGGTTAACAGTTCATCAGTATGCCAGTGTGACTTGCATAAAGCTGGACTGCACATAATGTCGGACATGAGGACAATAAAGGTTAAATATGGGTGCATGACTTAGAGGGTTGCATCCATTTAAAAATATGTACCAAACTTTTTCAATAAATTAGCACCATCAGCAGAGACAGAATGCTCATGTGTGAAATGAATGTTAAGCACATAGGTTCTAACATTAAGTAAATTTATAGATCAGGATCACAATTTGGAATGTCTGCAATGTTTTTCTGACATAATTCAAGATAGAAGGACCATCATTTATGTCTACTGCATAATTGGAGATACTAAAAATATTGTGATTTTCTTTGTAGTTTTTTCATCTTTGAGCAGCAATACAAGCACTCTGTCAAGTCCTTCAATAAGCCCCAAAACTCATAATTCACCAGTCCAGAAAAATGGAGTACAAGCAGATTCAACCAATGCAGGTAAGGAAAGAAAGTATTAGTCACATATTGTTGAATTAAATTTAAAAAAATACTTTGCATAAACCCTTTCTTTAACACTTACTCATTTCTGAAGCAATTTAAAATTCAAAATGCTACCATGTGATATGGCTAGAAATGCTAGAAGTAATAAACTCACATCTGCAATTCTTTTTATGATGCTTAACTTGGAGAAGAAACATTCCGGTCTTGGAAGCTAATTTTCAACTTATGCCCTGACTGGTAAGTCTTGCATATCTTCATATATCTTTATAAAAGCAGCTCTGTACAGTCATTAATACTCTGCTCTGTTCTGTATCAATCCAGCAATGGCTTAATGGGTGGTAGGAGAAGGGTACATTCTGGTATGTAAAACTTACATTTTTGAGTTTGCAGAGTTTATGGTACCAGTATTTCTGAGTCTGAAACTTTGAAGTATTCCATAATATTATGTGTATGAACACTTTGGGTTCAATTCATGGCATCAGAGTACATGATCTGCCAGTATGTTGACTCTTAATCAAATTATTAATGGAATGCCATGTCAGTTCCTGAATGAAATATCTCATGGTTATGAAATCAATTTCTGCCATCAAATTTGTTTCATGAGATGTCAGAATTATGCTTTAGACATTTAATTCTGCACCTGCAATGTACATAATATGAGAAAATGCATGAATTTTTTGAATGCATTATGGTTTATCTGTATGTCTGTGCATATTTGTCCAACAGGAAGTTTCTTTTATTACCTGTCTTTTTTTTGTGTTTTGTCTTTTGGTCATTGAAACCTTTGATCTTTGATATAATTTGATATGCAAAATTCTGTTAATTAAATATAAATCTTAGCTATAATTTCTAAGTAGGAATGGTACACTATGTTGCATTAATTTCAGCCTTCTGCAGTATGATGTCTGATCTGATGAACTATACAGACCGTCGTGCTCCAGGCTGTGAAAAGAAAACTTTGGAACTTGCTGCTCAGCAGTCATTTAGTAAATTCGATCTCGACAAGAAGAAACTGCTTGCTTACCAAGGTATTTTATCTGTACTTCCAGTTTCAGAATACTCGTATTGTACCTTTAATGTTTTGTGCTTACTCTAAAATAGATTCCAAAGTCTCGCTATTTGCTTAGTTTTACAGACTTCATATTTTAAGCTGTGTTATATACATGTCTGAAAATGAGGTTAAGTATAGGCAAAAGATAACCAGTCTTGTATTTAGGAGTAAGTGGTTTAAATATAGGTGAGAAAACTGAGTGCAATGGCAGAATAACTTTCTCCTGCCCTCATTTTCCTACCAGGTGATTTCTTAGTGGAATGGTGGAAGTTATTGACAAAGTTTTATTATTAATATTTTGCTGTAATTAATGTTAATTTAATTCTACAATATTTAACATTTGGAAGGCATATATCTGTTTTTAAAATTACTTCTGAAGGAAATATCTTAAACTACCTAATTTATGAACATATTTCTATGATTTTTGCAATACTGTTGATTTCTGAATACTAGCAATGCAAACCAAGCCAGTTCCTGGGAATGTGCGTGTGCCAACATCTGCCTGGTCCGGTTATGGTCTGAGCCATTCCAGTCCTGCACCAGAACTTGGGCACAGGAAGAAGGAAAGCTTTGCTACTTCACTGCTTGATGTAATGAATGAGATAACTCTATCACTTAGAGTAGTTCTTCCTTCTCTTCCCAATTTTAAACTCAGTTTTAAGAAAGTTACTAGCAGAGTGGTCTGCCATTACAGTCGTAATTACAAAGAGACTATCAATCTTCGCTCACTCTGAAGGGCCATCTTAG